TCTCCCCTATTTGTGCAGGCTGAAGCTATGTGCATAGTTGGGATGAGGGCTGTGTTGTCTCTCCTTCCTTTCTGAGGAGAATTGTGTGTGTACTCTTGCCACTCCTTAGCCTTGTACTCATGGCTGGATTACAGTGAGTGGGTGCGGGTGGGCGTGGGCAGCTCTGATGCTCCGGCTCCCACCCATAGGCACCATGACTCCTGTGAAGACCCAGCACTCCCTGGCAGGTCAGACGTATGCCGTGCCCCTCATCCAGCCAGACCTGCGGCGAGAGGAGGCCGTCCAGCAGATGGCGGACGCCCTGCAGTACCTGCAGAAGGTCTCTGGAGACATCTTCAGCAGGTGGGTGCTGCCACCCACCTCCTCCTGATCAGAGGACCATCCCCATCCTGGGCAGTCCCAGCAACCTACCCTCTGGGAGCAGCCCCCTAGGGGACATCCTGGTCCTGGGGGACCCATCTGGCTTCCTTCTGTGGGAGGGGCTGAGGTAAGAGCCCAGCTTGGAAGGTTTTGCTCCTGAGAGTCCGAGAGCTCACTCCCTTCCACCCCACTTAGCCTCCTGGTTTCCTGTGGTGGCTCTGCTCTCCTGACTCATTCTCTTCCTCCCATTTGGGGGGCAAATTCCTTCACATTTTCCTGCAGCCAGCAAATACTTAGCCAATAGTGTTTGTGTGCAAGGCATTGTAAGAATCTCTGTAGATCCAGCCATGGATAAGGCAGCATCCCTCTCTAGCTGGAGCGCACATGCTGGCAGGAGAGAAAGATCTAATAACCAATGCATGATTAGTTCTTTAAAAACAGTTGTGACAAGGCCTGTTGATAATATTTGGTAGTCACTGTTATTTATACAGCATTAACCATGCAGCACCATTGATTTGAGTGCATTAACTCATTTAGCTCTCGCCACACTTTATGAGCAGGCACTGCTGTCATTTCCATTTTATAGATGAGGAAACTGAGGCACAGAAAGGCTGAGAGACCTGGCCAAGTGACAGAGCCAGGGTTCAAAGCCACAGATCATGGCCCCAGGTTCTGTGGGTTATTACGGCCTCTGTGGAGGGGAGATGGGGAGCTGTGAGGCTCGTCCTGGCTTGGTCTTGGGTCAGGGAGACTGGCTTGATCTCAGGTCAGGGAAGGGGGATGTGAGGAAATGACATTTGTAGTAAAGTCTGAGAGTTGAGTTGGGTAGGTCAGGAAGAAAATTCCAGAAAGAAGGAAGCACATGAACTGTAGCCCAGAGGTAGAGGACCTAAAAGAAAGCCAGCATGGCTGGAGAACGGAGCGGCCATTGAGGGAGGCGAGCTGGGGGGCTGAGGCTTCTTGTGTCAGCAGTGCTGACCTCGCACGGTCCTTGGGCTCTGGTGATTTTTCCCTCGGTGTTTATCTAATATGAGTGAGTGAGTGATGTTTGCTGTTTCCTGGCAAAGGTCCCAGCGGTTGTTGGATGCACAGGTCCTGTCTTTGGCCATGAACAACCTGAAATGAGGCTTGGTCTCCTTCCCGGGATCCCACACAGTGCCTCACATGGTGGACCCCAGTGGGAAGTATGTGACTGACTGACTCAGGTCCCTCTGATGGTCCAAGTCACCCCTGCCCTGCCCTTCCCTGGTTGTTGCCAGACCTGGATCCCCTGATCCTTCACTGTGCAGCCTCCTCTTCTGTCACCAACCGGAAGCCTACCTCTTCCTGAATGACTCCACCCGCCGACTCACCGGCTTGCCCCAAGCTTGTCAAGAATGTCCCTGTAACCCAAGGGTCATGCACTGAAGTGGCTGAGGGGGTCACCTTGGAGCTGATGCCTTGGCTCAGATCCGGCTTTCCTGTTTGCTTCCTCTGTAACCTTGGGCAACTCAACCCCTCTATCTGTGAAGTTGTGGTAATAATGGTAGCTTCCTGGTGGAATTATTTTAAAATCTAAATGAATGAAAACATGCAAAGGACTGGAACAGTGCCTGGCACCTCGGAAGACTTGAGGAAATGCTAGCTCTTCCCTGTTGATAATCTTGACCCGTCCACTGGACTCGGTTGCCATTCATGAACCTGTCATCAGTAGTTACAGAAATTGTTGGATGCACCTTTTGTGCATATCGTTGTGATGAATGTGCCTAAGGGACGCCTAGGCAAGAGGATGCTGGTCTTTAAGAGCCATCAGCTCCAGGTTATGGCCACCCATGTTCAGTGCTTAGAATGGAGGCCAAAACCATTCCCTCAGAAGCTGTGTTTCCTCACCAAGATGGGATTGCATGTTGCCCTTCTCTGAGGGCAGCCCTGGATTTTTGGTGTCTTTCCTTTCCTGTCCTGGTACTTGGCACCTTGTAGACAGTTGCATGTCCCCTGCCCAGGGATGGGATGAGGAGAGGGCAGGAAGGCATCTTCTGGGGAGTGGGGTGCTGCATTCATTGAGTGTGGGATCCTCAAGTTGCTGGCACAGCCCATGGAGGGAAGATGCTTCTCAGGAGCACTGGGCCTGAGTCCTGGCTCTCTCACGCCAACGTTCCAGGTCACTGCATCGATCTCTCCACCATGTGCTTCACATCATGCTGGGTCTTTAAGAGACGCCAATTATGTGGCTGACACTGTGTCCTCAAAGAGCTTAGGGGCTGGAATGGGAACATGTAGGGCGAGATTAATTGTTAATTGTGTAGCATGGACCATGTGGGCTTCTCAGGGTCTAGAAGGGAGAGAAATCAATAAGATTTGGTGGCACACCTGTCAGAACTCCCCAAACCAAGCTAAGCAAAAAGTAACCAGTAGGGCAGCCTTTGGAGTTAGGGCTAAAATGACGTCATCAGGGCCTGGCTTTGCCTTCCTTCCTTGTCAGTTTGCTTCTTTGGGTCTGGCTGCATTCTGAGACAGGCCATGCTCTCGTGGTGGCAAGGTGACATGGCAGGGTCAGTTTCAGCAGGAAAGAATGCTCTCCTGTGTCCCCCACTTCCTCTAGAGGCCACACTCACCTGGATTGGTCCTTGTGCTGTCCCAGAATCCATCGCTGGGGCCAGGGGACTATGACATGCCACTTGGCTTAGACCAAGGAGCTCTTCAGACCACCCATCTGAAGCTCAGGGTGTAAGCCTGCAGGAGAGATGGATTCCCCAAAGGACATGGGGCCCTTGCTTGAGTAAAGGGGAAGTAGGTGCTGGAGAGGAAGCCACGTGCCTCCTCCACATGGGGCAGGCTCCTGGAGGAGGAGGGCAGGGTAGGGAGGTGGGCGTGCAAGTCGCCCTGATGGGGTCTAGAAATGGGGGCCACCGGCTTGGAGAGAAGCCTCAGTGTGGCTTGGAACGTGGTGTATGGTGGTCTGCTGGGAAGGCCAGCCTGCACAGCGGCTGGAGGGGGGTAGGGTTTCTGCATGGGGAGCATAGACAGTGCTGCCTCTCCCTCGCACTCAGCTCACAGGGCATGAGAGGCTGATTTCCCACAAGCCTGTGGGCCAGGCCTCTGGATGGTGCTGAGGAGCTTTGCGTTGGTTCCACTGAGTCCCCACGGGGCCATGGGAGGCTCCCTGGCAGTGTGTGGGGCAAAGTAATGAGTGAAAGGTTGGGATGAATGAGTTTGGGTCCACGGAGTACTCAGGAGAGGACTTAAGTTGATTCAGGAGTGTTAGGGAGCAGCCCTTGGGTTTCAAGCAGGGCAGGGGTGGGACAGAAGAGTTGGGGGAGGTTCATCAGGCACCTGTCACGGAAGGGACATGAAGAGAGAGTGGATGCCAGAGACACCCAGAAGCTGTTGCTGTAGTCAGGATGTGGCAGGGATGAGACTGCAGACAGGGAACCTGCAAACAGGAAGGGCCGGGTGAGACATTCAGAGGAAATGGACGACAGGAAATGGTGACAGATAGGGAACGATGATGAAGGAAAGGGAGGAGTCAGTGATGAGTGGGGGTGGAGTAGGGGGCACCGACACCTCTCCTCCCCCACCTGCCCTTTTTCTGTGGCACTGGACAAGCATGTGGACTTTTCATTTTTCATGGGCTTTTTTGGTGGGGATGTGACCAGCTTTGAATCTCTCCCCTTAAACATGTTCCTCCTGCTTAGAACCCTCCTGCACAGAAGAAACAGGTGGGCAGAAGAGAGCCCTCTCTTTCCCTCCCACCCCATCTTAGGCCCCAGCACAGCCCAGTCCCTGGCCTCACTGGTGTGTGTGCCCAGTGGCGCAGGCAGGTGAATGCCTGGCAAATTAGCATTCCAGGCTGTGCTCTCTCCTGCTCTGCCGCAGCCGGGAGTGTGCAGACTGGAGGGAATGACAAGCACCTCCCAGGCTCTCTTTAGCTGTGCCCCTTCCTGCCCCCTCTTTCTGCCCCTCCATCTGTCCCCTCTTCACCTGGAAGAAGCCAGGTCCCCAAAATGTCGGGCCAGATATGTCACCTGCTTCCCATGACGTAGATGACAAGGGAGGAGGGAGTTGGGATGGCACGGGGAAGAGGAACAAACAGACTCTGTGTGGAAGTTTGGATGCTGTCATTTGCCATTGCCAATCAGCCCCTGCCCAGCCTCTTCACCCAAGAGGCCAGGCCACTGCCCAGCACTTTCCCCCTGGGAAGGGGGATTTTCTCTGCAAAGCTCTTGGTCCTTTCCTCCATCTCTTTCTTTTTCCTTTTCCCCACCTCTTCTTCTCCCCTTCCTCTTTTCCCCTTTCCCCTTGTCCTCACTCCTCCATCCTTCTCCCCTCTTCTCTCTACTGATTGGCACCTGGTGGCCCCCAAGGTTACACATTGCACTGGATCACTGCTTAATTAGCACGTTGTTCTTAATTATCCCAGAGTGGAGAAGATAAAGGTAAAGGCAAGAGCACAGGTTCAGGTCTGCTTCCCTGGGGTCATGACAGGCAGGGGAGGAGAAGCAGTGAATCAGGAGCAGGAGCGGGTGCTCCCTGCTTCCTCCTCCCCACAGCCTCTAGGGACTGGTGTGCTGATGGTGATGGGCCATCATCAGCTCCTTGTCACCTTCACAGGAATCACATGATGTAGAAGGGACCATTCCTATTTTTCAGTGGAAGAAGCTGAGGCAAAGACCAGTGAGTGGGCTCCCCAGGGTCACGCTGCTGCTAAACAGACGTGAAACCCAGGCCCGTGGGATGCTGTGGTTATTGATGCTTATCTCTTACCCGGGAGGCCTGAGTCTCTTTGGGAGTGGATGTGTGTTGTCTGATTCGTCTTTGGCTTCCACGGCCCCAGGACTGTGCTTTCAAATGGAATGCACTCAAGATACTGAACAGTAAGGGGTGGAGTCAGGAGACGGGAATTGAGGGATGCTTGGAGATGGTCCTCTCCAGGGAAGATAGAGGAAGACGGACCCTTAGTGAGACCACGTGCAGAGCAGGCTGGGTGAGCCAGTTCTGTCCCTGATGCCCACAGAGCAGCTTCCTCTCTTGTGCTGGGTGAGTGTGCCAAAGGGGATGGCTTCTGCACTGAGCTTGTAACTGACCTACCTTAAAGTAGGCCACCAAGCCAAGGGTGTCTATACCAGGAATGGCGAACAAATGGCTCTCATGGCACCATTCCCCCACCCTCACGGTGGGCATTGTTCATCAATGCCCTGGCCCCAGTGAGGCCTACAGGCTTTCCCAACACAGCCTCCCAGACCATCCTGCCAGTCCACAGAGATAGCAGACATGCTGCAAGCTTTCTGACCCTGAATCTGCACTTGTCCTCGGCACCATGGCCTGTGACCATGAGATAATAGATGGTCCGGGAGCTTTGTCAGCAAGCGTGCCGTTCCTTAGTGCCATAGGCTCCCGGTTAAGGAAAGAGCCCCAGGATCATGTCTTCTGCCTCCACCTCAGGGAGGATTCACCCTTGGAGCACCCTGGATGGTGCTTGTGAGCTGGAGCCTAATTGCTCTTCAAAGTGATGCAGTTGTTTATTAGAAAGTTGTTGTCATTTTTTTTTAAACAGCGCAGAGCTCTGTTTCCTTGAAACTCTGCCCACTATTCCTGATAGAAGTTTACTCGCTTCACCCGACAGCCCTTTTGGTGTTTTTGATATTTGAAGGGAATGATCATATTCTCAAAGTCATCTGATCTTTAGAGAGAACATCCTTCAGTTATCTTCATATGTCAGCAGCTTCTCACTCATCACCATCCTCATCACCCTCCTTGAGATGTTCGCTCATTTGTCACTTTCTGTTCAGCCAGCGGCTGTTATGCCTCAGGTCCTGTCCCAGGTGCTAGCGACGTAGCAGTGAATGAGGCAGAGGGCAGTCTGTACGGGAGGTCAGAGTCCTCGGACTGTGATCCAGTTTAAAGGGATGTGACTGTGGCTGAGACTGGTGCCTGGCATAGACTCTTTCATGAGTCCAGGGCCCTGTTTTCTGTGGTGCCTCCAAGAGACTGCATGGTCCCTGCTGAGTGGAAGAAGGATGAAGGGCAGAAGAGGAACAGGGAGCTGTGTGCCCTAAGAGCTCATTGCCTTTTTATGCTGATTAACATGCCTTTAGCTTCTACTGAGCTTATAGTTAACAGAAGCTTCAAGGCCTTTCTTCACCTGAACTGTGTCTAAACCAAGTTCCCTCCACCTTCTATATTTGTGCATGTGATTTTTAAACCCTAAATGTTGGGCTTCACATTTGTTCCTTATAAATGTCATCCTGGTGATTGCAGTCCACCCTCTGGCCTTTAAAAATTATCTGAGCCTTGATTCCATCATGCAGACCATTTTACCCCTCTGTGCTAGCCCCAGTTTTCCAACCAGGTGTGGAATGAACTGGAAGGGCCCTGCCAGATTTCTCCATGCAAGGCTGGAATCAGACCATTGTTCAACAGTGCCCTTTGGGGCTGTGGTTCATTTGGCTCTGATTTTTCCCATATGTTCTCTCCTCCAACCCTCATAGCTCCATCTTGTCCACAAGATTTTGTTCGAAGCTGTCAAAATCCGTGCTGACTCAAGATGCACTGTGCTGCAAGTTTTCCCCGGGCACAGCAGCCAAATTACCCTGTTACAAAGAGAAATGCTGTGTGTTTTGAGCAATGCTGGCCCCTGGGACTCACCTCTGCCTTTTCTAAGTGCTTACAGACTCTGTTTAATAATCCATTCCAGAAACTTGCCAGGGCTCATTGTTGAGCTTGGCGTTTGCAACTTTGAGTGGTCAGCCCTTCTCTCCTCTATGGCAGCACCAGGACAGAGCAGCCTTTGTCCCTCCCCAGTCCCAGTTTCCTCCCACTGTCCCTGTGGACCTTGAGTACAGAGCTTATACAATATTGTGTCAGCACCCAGGGACAGAATAA